TTGACGAAAAGATGTCCAAGATCACTAAAAAGGCAATGCAGATAACTCAGAGCTGGGCCTTCATTGCTGCACCTGCAGCAGAGCTTACTGGCGCTTGATCCTTCATCATAAACTTTGAGCTTTTTGTTGCTCCTGAAAGCATTGTGAATGTCCCCCTTTAATCTTAACACTGAAGGAGAAGTACCTGAATCGTTCGCTTTCCTCTGTTTTTTCTTGAAAATCTCAGGCTCGGCATCTTCCAAGCTGCACAACATGTCGTTAGAAAAGCCAACAAAACTGTAACCAAAAAAAAAGTGCACCTGTGGCCATCAGATTCCCGGAAACTGTCCACAGCACTTCTGCACACAACAGAGGGCCTGTGATTGCTGCATTTACACTGTTATGAACAAAAAGTTAAGCTACCCTCGGTGGTGGGCATCCCTCTTGCTCTTGGAAACCTCCCTGACGCTGCTGGGACCTTCCATGACACTAAAGCACAAATGACAATGTCAAGGTGGCAATAGAATTGATGATGTAAAGAGTACCCCTGAACCAAAGCAATGTACACCTCCTTTGGAGTTGGCCAGACCTTGTCGATAAGTATATGAGTTTGGCACACCCTTTCCCTGGCCGTGGGCTCCCCCGACAGGATGCTCTTGAGGTCAAACTCACACATTTTTGCAAAAGCCACGTGCTGAAACAGAAAGCGCAAGACCATCAGATCAAGGAGATGAGCCATTCAAATGGATACTCGAAGCAAGTTCCATGAGGAATGATGCGAAGCATGCGCAGATCTTTTTCAGAAAGGTCCTCTTGAAACTCAGGAGGCACTGTGCGGATAGTCTTCCGGATTTAGCACTTTGAGCTCCCTGGCCCTGGACACAAATATTTAAGCGAATTCACAAAAATAAGAAAGGAAAACGGGAGACATACCTCGTTGAATGTAGCACTGCATCGAGGTAAAAGCAAGAGTAGCTGGCTGCTGTTATGGAGCTTTCGTTTCTCAGTCAAGACTGCATGTTGACTTATTACCCGACCAGCCTTTTCTCCTTGGAAAACCTGCTGCCATAAAAGTTGGCTCATACAGAAACCGTAAAACTAGGATTAAGTCGCCATTTTTTCATATTTTTTGCTACTTTTTTAAAGATTAGAGCTTTTTTGGATCGAACATGCGACTATTTTTTGGTATGGTATGACAGCTCCTCACGACTATACTGCTTTGTGATTCGCACTAGTCTTGCATTGCAATTGTTATAAAGAACCTCAAAAATAATACCACTTCATCAATATGCTCTTCATCCTTATCCTAGCAAAGGATGTTCAGAGTTAGTAACTAAAAGATATTATGAATAAATAAAAGACTTACACTATTGAAGATGATAACAAGCCAATGGAAAATCTACTCCTTCGCTCTTGTAACATTTAGATTTTGAGGAAACAAAACCAAATTCAGAATAGTGGATACTTATTTCTTTAGTGCCAAACACAAGTTTGGAATGCCATCTTGAATAGAATCTATGTTGCAAGCAAAAAGAATATTTATGTCAATAAAAAAATCTGGATCTATGAGCATATTATCTCACTTGCAGGACTTTGTATAGTCACATGGATGTCTCGCCATAAGCTTTCTCTATTGTTGCAGTTCCAATGACAACGTGTCGCTGCAACCATTGGTATAACAATCTCATCCTTGTTATTTGAAGATCTTGCATACAAACCATATTGAAAATTATAAAGTTATGTGTATAAAAATTGATGTGGTTACAAGTCAACTTCTGGTTAAGCGTCTTCACGTTCAAGTTATGCCTTGCATTGCCCTTGCCCAACCTTCACACTCATAATCACAAAACTCACCACAATATTGTTCACTTGAATGACAACTTAGGGGTGGGAAAGTCTACTTTCCTCAAATACATCATAAGGATAGAAGTTGATGAGCCAAGCTCAGTTTTAGAGACTATCTCCTATCTTTAGCTCACAACCATAGAAGATATGGTTTGACAATTTGCACTTATAAACTTGCTCAATAAGTTTAGTTCTTCACTACACTTGCCTCTCAGAGTTGAGGTAAGCTACTTAGTAGTTGGAGAATGACTCCATCAACTCTATGTGTAGCTTTTTCCTAGATAAAGTTGATGGGAGATCAACATAACACTTCAAGTACTTCTTGCCCTTAGAACATGGTGTTGCATTTCTTAGCCACCCCTCTTATTATCCTTGACTTGGTATAGCTCCTTGGCAAGGATATTCCACTATTGAGATGGATACCTACCATCATCTTCATAGAGTGCTTTAGTCATCCAACACTTGCAACCATTTTTGACTATTTGCTCACTTGTGTCTAGGAGATTCTTGAGCATCCTCAAGTGCATCCCTTATTTGTGCTCCATAGTTCATCCAAGTGGCATTATAGATCTCTAACTTGCCATTGCATGACACTTAACGATATAAATAGTCACAATATAATCACACAATCCCTTCCTTGAGACACAAGGGTCATTGCCATCTATGGGATAATAAAAGCTCAAGTGCATGTGCCTCTTCACACTTACAAATCTCTAGGCTTTCTCTTACCTTATTTGTATTGGCCAATTCAATTAAAATTATGGGTACATTGTACAAAACCTAGCTCACACACAGGAAGTTTAAACGAAAACCACCATATCAACTCTAATAGTATTAGCAAGCTAACCATCACTTCACCTCATAAGAGGTAATTCCACATGATACTTGCTTAGTATTCTATATAGAATAAATTATCAACACCTGAAGCTCACTCTTTAACTTCTTCTCTAAGATCAAGTTCGTTTGTTACTATATCCAAAGTGGTAGTCTCTCCAAATAGACATTATTGGTTCATTGAAGCCTTCTTCTTCTTCAATTTCTTTGGGGGTATGAAGTTATTTCCACAGATGAAGCCATGGCTTGTGTCTTGAAAACTTAAAAAAAAAACCACTATAAGAACACATAGTTTTAAATATAGCTTTACCTATTTTGATTATTTTGCAAGCATGGTTCTATTTTCAAGGCAAATCAGAATGTAACTTTGGTAGAAAATACTTAAAAATCATAATTATATGGTTTTTCAAGTGAGATATGTTTTGCTTAAATCAGAAAGCTATTCTTAGTAGAGGTTATAGATCTTCAATACCAAATACTAGCATAGATCACTTTCATTTTGAATTTCAATGTACATCCATCGAGACTTTAATTGTCCTATTATCTAGTAAGTGCATCCCTTCCAGAGGTCGGGACTCTTTGCACGTATTAGCTGAGAAAGTATAGTTATAAATGAAAACTATAAATAGCCAATGAGATATTATCTATTCTTTTTTTAGCAACTAATTAACTATTTCTTAGTTATCATATAGAACTTTAGTGGTGGATCAGTACAATAGTTATATGTTTTAGCTCTAAGGAATGTGCAGTTTTATTACACTTGCATCCTACTAGTGGATGCTATAATTGAAATGCCACACTATTAGAACACTTCTATCTTGTTTTGGGATGTAGTTTTCATGCATTTCTAAGAGGTGTTTTCAACAACAATTGTCTAATTTATCACTAATGTGACTATGGGCATTGAAAGTTGTTTGTCAAAAAGTCTTTTAAGATATTCTTTTTTTACTTAGGATGGCAAGAGATTGGCATTGTTAATTCTCTTTATCAGTCTCCACTCAAGCTAATTGAGAAAACCATTTTTATATGTGCACTTTGCCATATGACCAGTTGTGACCATGGTTGAGATGTTATTTAACTCTCTATTAAACATGTCTATCTTTTTCTTACATCTAGCTTGAGTTTAAACCCAAACTCAATATGCTAATTGATGGAGTATTTATATCTTCATATTAAGCCATCAATATATTGAAATAGTGCCAAACTCTATTTGGTTATATATAACATGCTACTCTTGGCATTAGAATGCTAAGTCTTCTAAGACTATTTCAATATTGCTCCATGCTCCTCTTCACTCTTTGGCTATATGTTTGAGAGTTGTTCCTCCTTCACTTTTAATTATATGCTTAAGAGTGTTTTGCATTCTGATTTCCTTATTCATTCTTGGGAGTTCAACTTTGTCTCTTCGTTTAATGGTCCAAAGCTTTAAACTTAGGTTTTACTCTGTTGCACGTGTTTAAAGGTTAAGTTCCACTTTGTGGTTATTTTATAATAATTCCTTATAAAGTAAAGAGTATATTACACAATTGAAATTGCAATGGTGAAACTTTAAAAATTTAGAGAAGAATTAAATGTATGGTGGAAGTGTCTCTATAGTAGAATGTTTACAAGATGGATGGAGCCTATAGCCAATACATACAAAATTGGAAGAGGATGTATAGCAGTAGAGCTCAACAATATACATTAATTTATTCCTATGGAAGCTTGGGAAAATATATTATATATTATATATTTATATTTTCACGAGAAAATATACGTGTAGTTGAAAATAGGAAGTCCAAATTGTGCTTACATATCTTTTATTGGAAATATCACTCGTGCTCAAATCCTACATAAATAAATTACGGCCCAAAGAACGTATCCCATGGGCATCACATCCCTTCCATGCCTGCCTGGGTGTCTCATGGGTGGGACTCCATAGATCCCTGAGCCCTTCACGAGGGGAAGGAGACAAAAGAACTTATTCTAGATTTTGAAGGCCACCTTTTCAGTCTTGCCCATGGAGGAATTGGCACCCAAGGTTGGGGGGAGAGCTGTGGCAAGCTGGTGGCAGTGAATCTGCTGGGGATGATGCAGGTGACGTGGTTGTCGTTGAGATCTAGGTTGGAAGCTGACACTGGCTCAGTCTCTGGATCCAGCCGGTGAACCTATTGGGGGTTCCGTTCTTGATTAGATTCCATGGTAATTTTTAAGGGCCCCTATAAACTGTTTGAGGACTGGATTTTTCTTTCACGATTCCGTAGCCAAGCACGGCGCTCATTGTTGTAGATTTTCTTTGTTGACTCTTGTAGGTTGTCAGCAGCCGTGTTGGAACTAAACCCTTGAAAAAAGTGGCACGGAAAGGCACTGGCAGCACGCACATAATTGCTGCAAGAAAATCGTATTCTTTTTCTGCCCCTGGTCCTCACCTTCTTTTTCCTTTGGTCACGGATTTCTTCTTGCCTTGCTGCTCCGTGCAGAGCTTTTTAATGATGAGCGACGGCATGAAACCTGATACTGGCGCTGAGAGGATCAATGCCAGTGGCGATCGCTTATTGATTCCGATGCAGCAACAGTTGCGCATCACAATCGACGACGGCTACGCTGCGTTTTCCACCTGCGCTCGCAAGCTGACGAGAGACAGCAAAGATCCAAATCTTATGAAGAACAGCAGCAATAGCATGGATGAAGAATCAGCCCTCGGAACCACTTCGAATGCTCCTGTTCCAACTGGACGTTATTTCGATGCTCTCCAGGGACCTGAACTGGAAGTTGTCGAGGTATATCATATAGTCTAAAGTTGTTTGATCACAGTCTTGTTCCTTTTGTGATTTGCAAACCCATGCCAGGAGAGTGAACAAGACCTGCTGCTACTTCCAATGGACAAGGTGTGGCCTTTCTTGCTCAGATTCCCAGTGAACAGCTTTGGCATTGTTTTGGGACTTGGCAGCCAGGGAATCTTGTGGAAGTCCCTCTCGTCCACGCCCGCCATGGAGGAGTTTGTACACATCCCGAAACAGGTCAATCTCGTCCTCTGGTGTGCAACGCTGCTTGCCTTTGTTGCCATATCTTTGACGTACCTCCTGAAATGCTTCCTCTACTTTGAGGCAGTGCGGCGGGAGTTTTTCCACCCCGTGAGGATCAACTACTTCTTCGCGCCGTGCATCGGCGGCATGTTTCTGGCCATCGGCCTCCCCGACGCCGTCGGGCTCTCGCTTCACCCTTCGGTATGGTGTTTGTTGATGGCGCCATTGTTTCTTCTGGAGCTCAAGATCTATGGGCAGTGGCTGTCGGGGGGTGACAGGCGCTTGTCCAAGGTGGCCAACCCGAGCACCCATCTTTCCATCGTTGGGAACTTCGTCGGGGCTGTTCTTGGTGCCAGAGTCGGGTGGAAAGAGCCCGCTATGTTCTTCTGGGCTGTTGGTCTCGCGCACTATATGGTGCTCTTTGTCACTCTCTACCAGAGGCTTCCTACGAACAAGAGGCTCCCGAAAGACCTCCATCCAGTGTTCTTCCTCTTTGTGGCCGCGCCCAGCACCGCCAGCGTCGCGTGGGAGGATATCACCGGCAGCTTTGGCTACGTTTCCAGGATTGTTTACTTCGTCTCGCTCTTCCTTCTCCTGTCCCTGGTAACAGACTGCTTTCTCGATTCTCATGGATGATCTTGCCTCTAAACTGTCGTTTCTTCAATGTGTTCTTCAACCACCAGGTTGTCCGGGTGAATCTTTTTCGTGGTTTCAGGTGAGTCACGTTGTTTGGTTTCGAGCTCTAGCTCATCCGATGTCTGCAAGGTTCTCGATTTCTTGGTGGGCTTATACTTTCCCCCTTGGAGCGGCTGCCATTGCCGCCATCCACTACTATTCAGCGGTGACGTGCACCTTGACTCGCTTCCTGGTTGTTGCTTTGTCGCTGGCTTCTGTGCTCGTTGTCGTGTCCATCTTCGTTACAACCCTTGCGTGCGCTTGTCTGTATGGAACGCTCTTCCCCAACGATCAAGCCATAGCCATCACTAGCGAGCAACACCGCAAGCAGCAACAGCTTTGCAAGCAGCAGGCTTAATCCTCCAGAACAAATGCTCCTATGGGTCGTGAAGATACCTTGATTTTGAGAGCGCCAACGTCACTAGCTACGTGTATGAACGAGATTCCTGGTATGTGCTTCTTTTTCTTTCGGAAAATGTGCGCAGAGTCAAAGGTGTATCACGGAAGATCACTCTTTGAAAGTCAAAAGTCCAACAAAGCTCGTGACAAACAACATTCATGAAACCCAAGATTCTTTTCTAAAATCTCACCACAAGTTCTCCACGATGTATAAAACAAAGCTTTGAAAATGATATCAAAACCACGCTGCCCGTCAGTGTCCATCCATCCAGTGATTGCATGGAGTTCGCAAAGAGATCTCTGCGTTTGAAGTCAACACGCTTGCGTGTGAGTAGACGATGGCTGTCAGGGAATTGATCCATTACTTAAGGGGAGAGGAGTTTAGTTTGGGTGAGACGAATGCGATGAGCGCCACGATCTTTCTTCGGGTGTTTTTGGCTCTCGGATCCATTGCTTCGGTATGTTGCATCCGCTCTAGCGATCTCCAGATCCTGCATAGTTTTAGTCAGCAGCTGGTAGACTCAAATGCGTCGCTTACAAGCTGGAAGTTAGAATCGCCATGCTCGTCCTGGGAAGGCGTGTTGTGTCGCGACGATGGCGTCACAGTGACAGCGGTCTTGCTATACAACAAGTTCTTGACGGGTCAGATATCTCCTTCGCTGGGCCACCTGAAATTCCTGCAACGCTTGGATCTCTCCCAGAATGGCTTGAGTGGAGACATACCTGTGGAGCTCTTGAAACTCACCGAGCTGACGATGCTAAGCCTTTCCAGCAATCAGCTGTCTGGTCAAATTCCCAGGCACATGGAAATGCTCGAGAACCTGGAATATCTATACTTGTCAAGGAACAACTTGAGCGGGAGCATACCTCGTAGCTTGGGAAGCTGTCGAAGGTTGAAAGAGCTGGATGTTTCTGGAAATTACCTCGAAGGAAATGTGCCAGTTGAGCTTGGACAGCTTAGACGACTGGAAAAACTTGGCGTAGCCATGAATAATCTCAGTGGAGGCATCCCGGATTTTACAAACTGCACGAATCTCACGGACCTGGCGCTGTCGTTTAACAACTTAACAGGCAATGTACATCCAAGCGTGGCAACGCTGCCCCGGCTCCAGAACCTATGGTTGAATGACAATCAGCTCAGTGGAGACCTTCCAGTAGAACTTGGAAGACACAGCAACTTACTAATTTTATACCTGTCCAGCAACCGGTTCACAGGCACTATTCCCGAGAATCTGTGCGTCAATGGCTTTCTGGAGAGAGTATACTTGCACGACAATAATCTCCAAGGCGAAATCCCACGAAAGCTGGTCACATGTCCCAGGCTCGAACGGTTGTTGCTGCAAAACAACATGCTCACGGGTCAAATCCCGGAAGAAGTCGGCCAGAATCAAGTGTTGAATTACCTGGATCTCTCCAACAACCGGCTCAATGGTTCTCTTCCAGCTTCGCTGAATGACTGCAAAAATCTGACGACGCTTTTCCTCGCATGCAATCGCATTTCTGGAGACCTTATCAGCGGGTTTGAGCAGCTCCGCCAGCTTAACTTGTCGCACAACAGGCTCACTGGACTCATTCCTCGACACTTTGGTGGATCGGATGTCTTCACGCTGGATCTTAGTCACAACTCCCTTCACGGAGACATTCCTCCAGACATGCAAATACTGCAAAGACTGGAGAAACTCTTCCTCGATGGAAACCAGCTGGAAGGAACCATCCCGCGATTTATAGGAACTTTCAGCAAGCTTCTCGCTCTGGTCCTGAACAACAACAAGTTCACAGGCAGTATTCCCGGTGATCTTGGAGGCTTACATTCACTCAGACGGATCGACCTGAGTAGCAACAGACTGTCGGGTACAATACCGGCTCGGCTCGAGAACTTGAGAATGCTGGAAGACTTGGATCTGTCTGCAAACAATCTGGAAGGCAACATTCCCTCCCAGCTTGAACGGCTAACAAGTTTGGAGCACCTCAACGTGTCATATAATAACCACTTACTAGCACCAATCCCGTCGGCCTCGAGCAAATTCAACAGTTCTTCCTTCCTGGGCCTCATAAATCGTAACACCACCGAGCTCGCCTGCGCAATAAACTGTAAACATAAGAACCAGCTTTCTACAACCGGTAAAACAGCCATAGCATGCGGGGTAGTATTTATATGCGTTGCTCTAGCAAGCATCGTTGCATGCTGGATCTGGAGACGTAGAAAAAAAAGGCGAGGAACCGACGACAGAGGCAGGACTCTCTTGCTGGAAAAGATCATGCAAGTGACAAACGGATTGAATCAAGAGTTCATCATAGGACAGGGTGGCTACGGAACTGTTTACCGAGCAGAAATGGAGTCGGGAAAAGTTCTTGCTATCAAGAAGCTCACTATCGCAGCCGAGGACAGCTTGATGCATGAGTGGGAAACCGCTGGTAAAGTCAGGCACCGAAACATCCTCAAAGTTTTAGGCCACTACAGACACGGAGGATCAGCACTTCTCGTTTCCAACTTCATGACAAACGGAAGCCTGGGGAGCCTGCTACACGGCCGCTGCTCAAACGAGAAGATCCCGTGGCAACTTCGTTACGAGATTGCACTCGGCATTGCTCACGGCCTCTCATACTTGCACCACGACTGCGTGCCAAAGATAATTCACAGGGACATAAAAGCCAACAACATTCTCTTGGACAAAGACATGGTTCCAAAGATTGCGGACTTTGGCTTGGCCAAGCTCATCGAGAAAGAAGCGGAGACAAAGTCCATGTCCTACATCGCAGGCTCGTATGGATACATTGCTCCAGGTAGAAAACAAAGAGAAACGAAGAAAGAAGCTCTCAACTCACATTTCTCTCTCTCTCTCTGTCTGCAGAGTATGCTTTCACGCTCAAAGTGAACGAGAAAAGCGACATATACAGCTTTGGAGTGATACTTCTCGAGCTGCTGCTACGAAAGACACCGCTCGATCCACTCTTCTCAGAGACCGATGGAAACATGACGGTGTGGGTAAGAAACGAGACGAGAGGATCATCCACAGGCTTGGAAAGCGTGGCAGATCCAGAGATGTGGAGGGAAGCCTCCCGGATCGAGAAAAAGGAGATGGAGAGGGTTTTCCGGATTGCGCTGCTGTGCACAGAGGGCAATCCAGCGGACAGACCCACAATGCAGCAAATTGTGGAAATGCTGAGGACGACGCCAATCCATACCTGAGAAGCGCTCCTCCTCCGAGCTTAGAACCCTAACAAAAAGAACCCTATGGAATTGGCGGGAAATTCAAAAACCTTGTAGTTGAATGGAGGACGACTGGGTTACTCTTGTGAGAGCTTGCAAGACTCTCGCTAGGGCGAAAGCTCTCCACGCGAGGATCGCCGGCGCCACGCACTCCCCGCTTGATTCGTCGGTTTTCCTCTCGAATCTCGTCGTCCAGATGTATGGGCGATGCGGGAGCGCGGCAGCTGCCCGCCAGGTTTTCGATCGGATCGCTTCCAAGAACAGCTTCTCGTGGATGCTGCTGCTGTCCGCGTATGCCCAGAATGGGGATGTGGAAGAGGCCAGGCGCGTGTTCGATGCGATGCCGGAGAGAGATCTCGTCTCCTGGACCGCGATGCTGTCGGCCTACACCCACAGCTGGAATCTGGGCGGGGCGATCGACGTCTTCCAGAGAATGCCGCGGTGGGATCTCGTCGCATGGAATGCGATGCTCTCGGCTCTTGCCAGGGGCGGAGATCTTCGCCAGGCGCAGGCGCTGTTCGATCAGATGGCCGAGAAGAACATGGTGTCGTGGAATTCGCTGCTGGATGCCTACACCCAGCACGATCAACTAGAGGAGGCCGAGAGGATCTTCAATTCCATGCCGGAGCTGGATCTCATCTCGCTCACCAGCATGCTCTCGGCATACACGCAAAGAGGGCGAATCGAGGACGCCAAGAACACCTTCGATCGCATGCCGGAGAGAGATCTCGTGTCGTGGACCGCGATGATCAGCGCGTTTTCTCATACCGGATCTCTGCGCGAGGCCAGCGCCACCTTTCAGTCCATGCCCGAGTGGGATGTTGTGTCCTGGAACTCGATGCTCTCGGCATATGCCCAGGCGGGGCATCTGGAGGAATCAAAATCTCTGTTTGATTCCATGAAGGAGCGTAACTCTGTCTCTTGGAACGCAATTCTTTGCGCTTACGCATCCATCTCAGAGAATCCGGTTGATGCCAGAAACACTCTTGAGAATATGCCAGAGCACAATCTCATCTCGTGGCATGCCATGCTTGCTGCATATGCTAGAAACGGGCATTTGGCTGAGGCTCGGGGGATTTTTGATTCGATGAGGGAGAGAAACACCGTCTCTTGGACAAGTATGTTGGCCTTTTACGCTCAAAAGGGGCATCTTACCGATGCCCGAGGAATGTTTTTGTTGATTCCAGAAAGATGGCTTGCTTCCTGGAATGCGATGCTTGCTGGGCATGCCCAAAGCGGGCATTTTGACGTAGCAATGGAGCTTTTCGGGGAGCTCCTCGTCGAGGGCATTGATCCCGACGAGACTTCACTCCTCTGTGTTCTATTGGGTCCAGCGCGAGTGGGCGATCTTCGTGCTGGGTGGAGCTGCTTTGTGTCAATGACGAGAGATTTTGGGCTCTCTCCCTCGAAGCTCCACTACTGCTGCATGGTTGATCTCCTGGGCCGAGCTGGGCATTTGGAAAACGCGAGAGAGCTCATCAAAACAATGCCGTATGAGCCGGATTCTGTCGATTGGAAGTGCTTGCTTGGAAATTCGACAACGAGCGCTCACAAGGATAGCAGCGTTGCAATGGCTGCCTGTGAATCAAACAGGGAACTCTCTGCCCCTTATGTATTGCTCTCCAATTTATACAAATGCTAGGGTCTAGGGTCTAGGGTTTAAAAGGTTTTAAAATTTTAAACCATTAGAATCTTTGGAATGGGATCTATTTCTAGGGCAGCCGTGAGATCCATCCATGGCGTTCGTGACGCGGAGCAATTGGGAGGAGGCGCTGGTCGAGGCGAGGGCTCACATCCGCCAGGCGGCATTTGTGGCTGTGGATCTGGAGCTGAGCGGCGTCCAGACGACGCCATGGCGCGGCGCCACAGAGGTGGACAATCTCCACACTCGCTACCTCAATCTTCGCGACTCGGCCGAGAAGTTTGCGATGATCCAGTTTGGCCTCTGCCCGGTCGTGTGGGATGCTGCCAGTGTGAAATTCATCGCGTATCCGTGAGTTTTAGTGTGATCTTTGAGGTGAATTTCTACTTTTTCTTCCAATGCAGCTATAACTTTTGTTTGTTCCCGCGTCACGAGCTCCAAATCGAGATGCCCGCAAGAGATTTCTTGTGCCAGGCCACTTCACTCGAGTTTCTCGCGAAGCACCAGTTTGATTTCAATGCCTGCATTTACGACGGTGAGCTTTTTCTTTTTCTCTTCTTCCATAGCTGATAACTCTGCGATCCAGGCATTTCTTATCTATCTCACGAGCAGGAGAAACTCGCTAGACATAAACTGAAGTTGACGGATGCGGATGGAGCACCACGCGAGCTTGAGAGCTTCTCGGTACTGGAGATTCCACTCAATAGAACAGCGGACGTTATCTTTAGCGAGAGCGTGCGAGTCCAAGCCGGGGAATGGCGTGACAAAGTGCTGCAAAGAGAAAAGGATGCTCAAGAACCCGAGGAGCGGCTGTGCCTCGTTGTGGAAGTTGCTGGTAACCATGAAGCCAACCTCGTTCACCAGGTAAGTTTCGTGCTTGTTTTCTCGTTTCCTACATTCAGCATCCATTTCTTCGTCAGGTTTTGCGAAAGAGCTTCCAAGATCTCGTTCCTTTTACGGAGGATGGTGCGAAGAAAGTGAAAATTCTGTTTTCCCGATCTGTGAAAGAGAGGGCGCTCTTAGTGGTGAGTGAACTGCAGATTCTTTTTCTTTTTCACTCGGGTCGTGTTTTGAGCGTTCTCTTCCTTGCAGGGTCAATGGGAAAAGGATAGAAGGTCGAGATTGGAAAACCAGATCATGGATGCAGTAGGATTTCGTCAACTTATTGATACTCTAGTGGAGTCGAAGAAGCCAGTGGTCGGACACAATTGCTTTCTTGGTAACCAACCTTTCAATCATTTCTTGGCCAAAACTTACAACACTGTTCTCCAGATATTGCTCATATCTACAGCAAATTCTTCGCAACTCTTCCTTTGAGCTGCTCCGAATTCTGCTCCTCCATCCACCAGCATTTCCCTTGCATCTTCGACACCAAGTACTTGCTGAAAGCGGACTCGGCGGCTCAAGAAATGCTTGGGAAAGGCGGCACAACCTTGGGCCCGGTGTTCTCGAACGTGGGAAAGCTGCCAAACAAAGTCCCGATCGAGTTTGGAAGCTCCAACCTTTGCAGGTACGATGGGACAGAGATGAAGCACGAGGCCGGCTATGATGCTTACATGACGGCGGCAGTCTTTGCCAACATCTGCCAGTTTGTGAAGATGGATCCCGCGAACTTGCCTTCACTCTGCGAGCAAGCAAAAGAAGGCGAGGAAGAAAGATCAGGCCTTGGGAGCCACGCAAATCACTTGTACCTTGGTTGGCGAGGGCACTTTGTCCTCGATCTTTCGACTGGCCAGGAAGCAACTGGTCCCAGGTCACTCAAGTCTTCTCGATCCATCGAGCGTGAGAAGGCCAAGAGCGTGGCACTGATGTGGGGCTCCGGTTCCACTCGAAGCTCGGAAGTTGACAGTCGAAGCTTGGAAGCTGACGTGAAAGCCTGCTTTACCGCTAAATCACCACCGCATGTAGAAGTCGTGCGCATCGATGAGAGCTCCGCGTTTGTGGTTTTCCGGAGGAAGGAGTCCCTGGAATCCCTGGTGCAAGCCTTCGAATGCTCCGGTCACCACGACAAGGTTGGCGTGTGCGATGTTAGCGGCCTGGTTGCACGCGGCTGGAAGATTGCCCGATATGAGTTCTTTGAGAAGCTTTGCGAGTCGCCACTGTCAACGGCAAAGCTCACGGACGCAGTCACTTTGATGCATCTTCAAGCTGAAAGTAGTAGCTCGAGGAAGAGACCGCGATTATGAAAGCCAGGATCGTTTTTTTTTTCCTCTCTTGCTACGCTCCGCTACCTCCAACCGGAACTACGAGACGATCGGCTAGCATGAATGACAAATCGCCCATTTGTGACAAGAGATCGTTCACTGGATCCTCGGCTGCTGGCCCATTGCTAGCACTGGTTCCAGAAAGTTTTGCTTATCAGTAAGAGCACTAGAACAAAACACGATATCGATACCTTTTGGAGCTTGCAAACGAGCCCAAAGATTCGTGTTCTCCATCCAAAACTGGCTCGCGGAGAATCTCAGCACTTTGTCCAGGCGTAGAAAAAGAGGAAGGGTGTTCGACCTGTCGCCAAAAGCCACGACCACCTCAGTTCGATCTTAGAAAGGATTCCAAATGCTCACACACGACGATTGAAAGATCTCTCGTTGTCGACGCGAGCAAAAAAAAGTGATCTCACACGAGCTACGTACGTGTAGCTTCTTCTCTTTTCCTTCCAACTAGTAGATGCAAGAATGCTGGCACTGGAATTAACATACCGAGGGATCCGAGCTCAAAGATTGCAAGAATCGCGCGAAAGCAACCGATTTCTCGAATTCGAATGGCTGCCGCTTGTGCTCCTGCTGCTGGCGGCCCGGGATCTGAGATCCACACACGAAGCAGATGCGCGCACGAGGAAAGATTCGCGCGGAGCACTTGGAGCAGCCGGCGCTCGATCCAGATCCCTGCGACACCAGATCCTGGAGCGTCTGGAGGCGATCTGGCGATGAATCTTGCCCCACTGCCACGCCCTGGATTGCCTGCTCGAGGCGCTGCTTGAGAGCCTCCTTGTCCATTCCCTCTCCCCTGTGCCCTAAAGTCATAGCCTAGATGAATAGCTTAGAGACGGAGAAGAGCGATGGCGCCGCGCGAGGAATCGGCAAATACCAGAAGATTTCGCCGCTGAGCGACGGCAGCAAGGACGATTTGGCTGTGAATCAGGTGTCCGTGCCACAGGTGAGCGACCTCTCTCGATGCTTCTCTTCTAGCTGCTGATTCGTGTCCAAAGGCGCGAGGATGGAAGAAGCTCATGGCTTATGTCGGCCCTGGCTTCCTCGTCGCGATTGCATACATGGATCCCGGGAATTGTAAGTCTTATCGAGAGTTCTTTGAATCGAGAGCGTGAGCTACAGGCTCTTTGATTGATCTTTCTTTGTGATAAGAATTTCATTTCTAAAGTTCTCTTTGTTTGTCTTTGTTTGTTCTAGTCGAGAGCGATCTCCAAGCTGGAGCACAGTTCAAGTATGAGGTGAGATTCAGAAACTTCTCCTGCTCTTCCAGTAAAAATTCTCACAATGTTTGTTCTCGCAGCTGCTGTGGGTTCTTCTTCTTGCGACCGTCTCCGGTGCATTGATACAGTCTCTTGCTGCCAATCTGGGAGTTGTAACTGGTTAGCTTGGTATTTAATTTTCTCTTGAGGCGAGGAGTCCTTGCAAGGACTAACACACAGTTTTTGGATGTGCAGAGAAGCATCTGGCACAGCATTGTCGCTTGGAGTATCCACCCAAGGTGAATCTAGTGCTGTGGTTTTTAGCTGAGATTGCTATTGTCGCCAGTGATATTCCCGAAGGTGTTAAAACTTTTATCTTGTAGCTGCTTGATCTTAACTTTTTTCTCTTTGATGCTAGTGATTGGGACGGCGTATGCTCTCAACATGCTCTTTGGCCTTCAATTATGGATTGGAGTCGTACTTACCGGATTGAGCACGCTTCTTTTTCTCGCTTTGCAGCAATACGGGGTACGCTTCTCGTTTTTTCTTCAGGCTATTGTACTTGGATAAAACTCAGCTCTGCTGTTCTCTCCGCAGATTCGCAAGCTCGAGATCTTCATATCGATTTTGGTGTTTACGATAGCTAGCTGTTTCTTCGTGGAGATGTTCAATGCGCGTCCCTCTCCTGTGGAGTTGATGAAGGGACTGTTTATTCCTAGATTAAGTGGAAATGGAGCAGCAGGGATAGCCATCTCTCTCTTTGGTGCCATGGTTATGCCGTAAGTGCTGCTTTGTTTAAGTTGTGGATAGTTCTGACTCTTTCTGTCGGCAGGCATAACTTGTTTTTGCATTCAGCTCTCGTGCTCACAAGATCGACTCCTCCGACAATGGAAGGAATCCGGGTAAAGTTCTATATGTCTTTATATTCAGTGTGAATTCATGTGGTGTCTCGGTGGTGGTATCAGGATGGGTGCAGGTACAATTTAATCGAATGCTGTTTCGCATTGCTCGTGTCTTTTGCCATCAATCTGGCAGTTGTAGCTGTCAGTGGAGCGGTTTGTAGCGACTCTCAACTCTCGGTAGCTGATGCGGATCGATGCAGTAACTTAGACTTGAATCGTGCTTCTTTCCTTTTAAAGGTGAGACAACCATACGTATACACTTGCTGTGTTCTTACAAACTTTTTGCCTGATCTTAGCATGTCCTTGGGAGCTGGAGCGGGGTTTTGTTCGGAATCGCTTTGCTTGCGTCAGGCCAAAGCTCGACAATTACCGGGACATTTGCCGGGCAATATGTCATGCAGGTTGGTTTCTTGCTGCCTAGTGTGATTCCCTCGAACAATTCTGCTCTTTCAGGGATTTCTGGAGCTCCGGTTTGAGCAGTGGATAAGGAACTTGTTGACGAGATGCGTTGCAATTGTTCCAAGTCTAGTTGTGGCTCTACTCGGCGGATCATCTGGTGCCGGACAGCTTATCATAATATCCTCGGTAACCATCATCGAAAGTTTGCATAACTTTTCGTGGCTTGACAAAGCTTTGGTTGCTGCAGATGATTCTTTCTTTCGAGCTACCGTTTGCACTCATACCACTGCTCAAGTTCACGAGCAATCCGGGAAAGATGGGTCCGCATGTCAACCACAGAAAGGTACTTGTATGATTTTCTAGTCTCGAGTTTGTGTGGAAGCTTGACAATGCCGCTACAGGTGACAATATTGACTTGGGTGATCGGATCGAGCATCATTCTGGTGAATTTGTTCTACCTGGCCAGCAATTTTATCAAGTGGCTGCAAAGATCTAGACTGCGGAGACTACACATTGCTCTTCTGGGGATTGCTGGTTTCCTGGCATTGCTCGCCTATGCGCTGCTAGCCGCGTATCTGGCCTTACGCAAGGATAACGAAGGAACTTACAGGCTCTCGAGCAGCGTGGAGGAGGAACAAGATGGTTTTGTCGACAAAGAGAGCGTCGTTGCTAATTAACCCTCTTTAGTATTAATCAATCCAACATGGTAGACGGAGAACCCTAATTCTTTTGTTTTCGCCATGGTTGTGGAGACGCCCACTTCCAATCCGCTGCCTCCTCCTCCGCGGCGCCGGAACGATGGCGGATTATCGTCGCGCCAAGAGAATCTCTCCAATGCGGATTTCCGGCGGATGGTCATGGAGACGCCGCGGCGAGCTCCACCGGATGAGAGCTCCAAGGATCAACGCCCTAAGAAGTAAGTGTATAGGCTACATTACACTGGTGAATAGTCTCAAGTGAAATTTCGTCCAGGAAGAATGCCGATGAGAGCGCAAAGCGTCCTGCCCGAAAGTTTCGACCGCCCAAGCCCAAAGAGTGAGCGTTTCTTTTGTTCTTTTTCTTTTGTTCTCTTTACTTATGCGAGTTCATTGTCTTAGAGAGGAGAAGAAACCGACCAAAGTCGACGAAGAGGATGATTTGCCAAAATACCGCGACCGTGCTAAAGAGCGGCGCGAGGATCAAAATCCTGACTACGAACTTATGGCTGCAGCATCTGGAATCAGCACCTTACACGCTGTAGCTCCTCCGGGAGCTGTCGACTTACAGTGAAGTAATTCTTTCTCACGTGGAAAATCGTTTATGGTGGTGTTTTTCTATTCTCCCTGCAGGGCAGCTGAAATACAAAAGAAGATATCCATAGCCAACAGCAAGTACCTTGGAGGTAAGGTTACCATTTCATAGATTTATGAATTGGCTCTAGTAACACAGGTGATGTCGAGCACACGCACCTGGTAAAGGGGCTAGACTACGCCCTCCTAAACAAAGTCCGGAGTGAGATTGATAAGAAACCCGAAGAGTTGGAGGAGCCTGAGGAAGAAATAAGGTGCAAAACGGACTCTTTTCTTGTGTTTTCTGAGAGCGCATGTCTTTTATTTTCAGGGTCAGCAAGACCGAGGACGAACCAATCAAGTTCAATACTCCAGTTGCCAGGGTGAGACGTTTGTGCGTTGTGTTTAGTTTTGAAGCTAAAGTGTTCTCGCAGGTGATATACAAATGGTTGGTCAAGCCTCCAACGTTGAGCAAAACAAGCGACATGTTTCTTCCGGGTCGGATGGCCTATGCGTTCGACATGGTAGGCTTTTAAGTTTGTCTGGTAATTTCTAAAAGTTTTTGAGACTACAGGAAGAAATGTCACACCATATTCCTACCACCGTGTACCGAAGCAAAGATGACTGTCCTACACCCGAGGTAAGGAAAAAAATAAGCCGCAGTTGTATTTACAGTGCTGGTTTTCATGCAGGAGTTTGTGACTGTGGGAGTTGATGTGGCTGTTTTAGACAGGATAGCCAAAATCATGGCTTATTTGAAGCTGGGAGCTTCCGGTAAGGTGAGAGAGTTTGTGCTTGATTTTCTTAGACAATCTCTAACACGTGTGCTCCAGGCCTCTAAGAAAAAGAGGAGAGATAAGTCCGACACAAAAGGTACGTTGTATGATTCGCTTTTTTAATGAGTTTCGACCGACTTGTTTGACATTCACCAGGCACTGCAAAAGAAGCCGCGGCACTGGTAGCACCGATTGACGTCAAACAACCAGAGACGCATGATGATGAAGTAGTAAAGAACAGGCCTTCAGACACAGACGATGCCGCCGTCGAAGAGGAAGCACCAAAGCCTCGAGTGGCTGAAGACGACATATTTGCAGACGCTGGCACAGACTACGTAGTAACTATGGACGGCAGCCCTCGATCCGAGGACATGGAGGAGTCTCCACGACGGGATGGAAATGGTGGCGATTCATACTTTCATGAGGAGCAAAGATCACATGAAGACTTGGAACAGGCAAGCCTTCTAGCTATAAGTCTTGGAAGACAACTGACTGTTTTTTGTTTACCTTCCAATTTTTGAATCAGGCTCCAATGCAAGGTCCTGCGATGCCTCAGTTCGGTAGTGAGTGGCAAGATTACCTTCCTCCTCCTCCAGACGATCCTTCTTATGAATACTACGCCAATCAGCTTAGCGTGGAGGGAAATGCAAGCGTTCCAGCAGCAGCCGTTGCTCCTGTTGCACCAAAGGATCCTCTGTGCATGACGCAGGAAGAGAAGGACAGAGGCATGAGTTCGGTGTTCAAGCGCGACGATCAAAGGCTCCGTCAGCGAAGGGAGCTTGATTCTCGCGAGAAAGATCCAAACTTTGTGTCAGAGAGCTACTCGGAGTGTTACCCAGGCTACCAGGAATACAACAGAGAGATAGTTGACAGCGATGAAGACGCGGACCTCACGAAAATGGACGTCGGTGGCAGGGTACGCAGATTTTCTTCGTCTTGTTTACTTTTAACTGTGTTCTTCGCCAGGCTAAAGGGCGATTGCATCGCTGGGACTTTGAGACAGAGGAAGAGTGGGGAAAATACAACGACCAGAAAGAAGCCACTCCAAAAGCCGCTTATCAGTTTGGTGTCAAGATGCAAGATGGGAGGAAGACGCGGAAGCAAAACAAGGATCAGAAGCTCAACAACGAGCTACACAAGATAACTCAGATAATGGAGAAGAAGAAGAGAGAAAAAGGGGGGTTGCATGAAGACGGTGACATTGTTGCCGAAGAAAGCAGCCATCCTGGGAAGAGAATAAGAACATGAATATAATGTAGAAACGGGGGAAATATCTCTTCGACATATAGATTCGACATGAATTTTTCATAAGTAACAACATTGGAACTCTCAGCAAAAGAAAAGGACAGCGTACAAAAAGATCATTAGAAGGATCCCTTGAACGATCCTTCCCCAATGTATGGTCTTGACTGGCTCATGGATGATTGATTGATTGACTGGTGGAATTGGTTGACCTTTATTCCTCTTTCTTGGGTGCCTTTTCTTCCTCTTTTTTTCCTTTGGATCTTTGTCACCAACATCATCGATATCTTCTTCAAGACCATCCAAAGTCTCAAATGGATTTGCATCTTTGTGCGATTTTACCTGGCAAGCGTTGGATTTGGGAGGCTCCATGAAATTTATTAGAGGAAGGTATGGAATCCGGACCCTTTCAGGCTCTGGGATCTCCCCCCAGCAGTAGTCGTGATCCTCAGATACCTCCTCCATGTACCTGTCATGCTTAGCCCTCCTCTGCTGCTCCAAATGAATTGTCCGTAGCTTCTCCTTAATCGGATCAATAATCCTTAAAACCTCCATGCTGGTGATTTAGGTGTGAACGATCTGTATATATATAGTAGTGCTGAAAAGGAGAGTTTGTGACCCTTTAAAGGGGAATTTATAGATTTAGTTTTTGCTGGAAAACTTTGGGTTTCTCAAAAAGAAGGGTTTAGGGCTAGTTTATAAAATGGATTCTCTAGTGGACTTCGATTGGAAGCTCAAGGTGAGAGAGAGCTTGCTTCTAGTTGTTCTCATCATTTGCAATGCAGTGGATGGTGAGCAGCAGCGCCTTGGGCAGCATCAAACAGGGCATCTTGCGCCTCGAGATGGCCTTGGCAGACAAATCCCCGCTTGTGGCAGAGCTGGACAAGCAAGAACTGGAGTCACTGATCGAGAGCATGGAAGCCATTTGTGCTAGCGTCGCTAGAAAAGAAGAAGAAGAAGAAGAAGAAAAAGGAGGAGGAGATTCACCCGATTCACCCGATTCACCCAATTCACCCAAGATCCAAGGGAAATGATCAAAACACAAGTTTATTACCCCTGGAAATTCTTCCTCGTCACTGGGAGATTCCAACCACGACCAGACAGACGTTGAAGGCAAGGCAGGCCCCCTTTACCCGGTGACGTGGCGCGCACGTGGCAGTCCCGGGTTGGATGAGCGTTGGGGACAGTAGTGGACTGGTGCTATAGGTACTCTCTACCATCACACTTTGGTTTTTTAGAAGAGTGCGCTGGAGAGAGAGAGAGAGAGAGAAGCGAGGGAGAGAGAGAGAGTGACAGGGCACAACGAGGAGGGAGTTTATTTGTTTTTGGGCGGCCAAAATTCGAACTCGCAGGGGCCGCATTCCCATGAGCGAGAGAGAAAGAGAGAGTTTTGGCTCCTCTTTTTCCTCTCGAGTCTCGAGAGGGTTTCTTCCATCCGGCCAAAGAGGTGAGAACTCCTTGAGAACTTGGGTAGAACCAGCTTGGAGGCTGTGAGCTAGATGAGCTAGATGAGCGAGATGGAGCTTGGAGCGGAGGAATTCGCGCTGGACTAGGCCAAATTCCACGACCCACAAGATGTTCTACTCCCAGTTCATCCTAGCCAAGAAGGGACCGCTGGGTACCATATGGATTGCTGCTCATCTGGAGCGGAAGCTCCGGAAGAACCAAGTTACCGAGACCAACATCGGTGTGTCTGTGGGTAAGTCACGATCTAGGATGTTGTTTCGTTGCTGAAAAGAGAGTTTTTTCTTTTCTTTTTCTAGATTCCATTCTTTGTCCCGAGGTTCCAATCGCGCTGCGCTTGTCCGGGCACCTGCTGCTGGGTGTTGTGAGAATCTACTCGCGCAAGGTCAACTACTTGTTCCACGACTGTAGCGAGGCTTTGGTGAAGATCAAGCAGGCCTTTCACTCTGGAGCTGTTGATCTTCCACCCGAGGCGGCCACTGCTCCTTTCCATTCCATCACGCTGCCGGAAACTTTCGATCTCGACGATTTGGAGCTCCTCCCGGATCGAGAAGCGTTATTCCTTGCAAATAGGTGGTTATATGTTTTTTTTTCTTTGCTTGTCTGAATGAACGTACAAAACTCTTGTTTTCTTATCCTTTTTTTTTTTTTTTTGCAGTTCCATCGATCACCATGTTACATCGCGTGAGCAGATTACTTTGCAAGACACCATCGAGGACACTACGTATCTTAGCTCGCAATTTGGACTCGATGGTAATTTGTTTTTCTCTCTCTCTTGAGCTTTTGAAAAACTCTAGCTTTCGAGAAATTCTGAGCTTGTAATTGTTTGTGTCTACGCAGAAAGATTTACAGATGGGGATGCTCCTCGTTTGGATTTTGGCGAGGTTTGTGTCGTGCTCTTTTATTTCTTGGCTCTCAAAGACTTTAACTTTGTATTTTGTTTCCAGGATGTTTTCACCGTTAAAGAAAAAGATCAGGAGAAAGGCGTGAGCGTCGAAGAAGAGTACGTAGCCAGTGACTGGAATGCGTAATAATACTTACTTGAGAACTATTGCTTTTTGCAGCCCCGTCTCGGTGGAACCGATGGATGAAGATGACAAAGCCGAAGAGAACATCGAGACCGCCAACGAGGTCCCTGAGCTCCCAAACGATGATGCCATGGACCTGGATGATCAGCTCAAGCCCTCGGTGGACGCAAACACTTTCGATATCAACGTAGTGCCCGTCGAAGAGGTACCACCGCCGCCACCATTAGCAGCAGAAACGAATGAGTTTGCAGCTACCACTGAAAGCGAAGTTACAACAAAAGCTGATGGTGGCGACGAAGAGATTGTCCCCGAGCTGGTGGCTAGTGATTCGCTGGTTGAAACTACAGAAACTCCGGCGGACGCTCGTGAGAATGAAGACGCTGCTCCTGCGGCTACTGCTGCTGCTGCTGCTGAAGAAGTAAAAGAAGGAGAAGAAGAAGTTTCACCGTCTTCGCTTGAGAAGAAGAACGAAGGAATCGTCCTGCAAGAGAACGAGCAAGAGGAGAGTCGCGGTGACAAAGATATTACTCAAGAGCAAGACGCAGACAAAGAACAAGACAAAGAAGAGACTTTGGAAACTGAGAAGGCTGTGGACGAGGACAACGCGCAGGGCCGAGAGATTGCCGTGGAGAAGCAGCTTGAGGATGTGCCTGATATTGAGAAAGTCCGATCGGCTCCCGAAGTTCCGTTGCTGGAGCCAAATGTTTTGGAACTTCCAGAGCCGGATTCTACTCCAGCAGCACCAGCACAGAAGAAAGAGGACGTGATTGATGATCCTGTTCCTCTCGTCGAAGATACTCTCAAACTTCAGGAAGTCGAAGAAACCCCGAGGCTTTCTCCTCCATCAATGACGAGAATGCCGGAGTTTCCTTCTCACGGGGATGATGATTTACTGGCGTCGATTCTAGGTGCGTACTCATACACTCAATCTTTTCGTTTTTCCTCATGAATCTAAGCTTGGAAAAAACACAGGTAGAAGAACACCTTCTCTAGTGGTGGCACCGACACCACCTGCGAAGCGCCACAAGCCCGGTCCAAAGCCCGGCTCGAGAAAGAGAAAAGTTCACTTCGACGAATCCATGGTTTTGGATGGCGAGTAAGTTTTGTTTTCTCTTGGTTGTTTGTAAACCACGTCCCTTACGACGTTTTCTCCATAGTCACATGCGACAGCAGCTTGCGGACACGAGCAGCATTCGCCGGGTTCGAAAAAGAGCTCCTTGCACCGATTATGAAGTCTGGGGATCGGAGAAAGATGGACTAGGCCAGCAAATGTTCGACGAACCTCTCATTCCAGGTACAACTCTTTTTCTTAAGTTGGAGGAGTGCTTCCTTTTATTTTTCTTTTCTTTTTGCCAGGATCTTGCGATATCATTCGCGAGGTTTATCGTTCTGTGTACAGTGCCGGTGATGCAAGACACAGTGTGGAGTCCGACACCACCGAAGTGTCCGCCAGGCATGACAAGTATCAGCTGGAGGAAGAGGAAAGTCGCGAACCGATCACTCTCGAGGAGGAGCCACTCGAGGACGATCTATTCTATGACCTGGAAGCTAGCTATCGCTTTGAAGAAGGTCTAGAGCAACCCGACCCTTTTCCTCGGACCGAAACAGTTGCCAGTGCAGAGAAAGCCGACGAGACGACGATCAAAGAGAACTTGGACTCGGAAAGGCGGGACGCTTGTGACAAAGAGGAGGCCCAGCCATCTGATAAGCCTGATGTTGTTCTTCCCGAGGAGCGGCCGTGTCCTGCTCTCGCCGACGAACACACTCTGGAAACTCCCGCTGGAGCTGATGTTCCAGAGCAAAGTGAGGGAGTTGTGGTGCCTGCAGTCGTCAACGATGCCAAGGATTTGAACGCGCTTGGTGATAGAAACGAGCTCGTAAATGGTGATGAGAAGCCGGAGGAGGCGGATCAAACACCAAAACTTGCTGAGGCTCGTGAGTCCGAAGCAACCGAAGAAGAAAAGGAAGAAGCTGGGCTTGACGCTGTCAACCTCGAGGATGGACAAGAAATTCAAGCTGATGAATCCGTGGGTGACAAAGCTGGCTCAGAACCAAAGCAAATGGAAGACGAGGAGGCTCCGAATGACAACAAAATGGAGGAAGAAATGGTTGTAGCGGACAACACCACCCCAACACAAAGAACTGATGCCATCGATAGTGATCAACAAGTAGCTGCCAATAACACTGTAGAGGTATGGTCTGTCATCCTCTTGTAAGTTCATTCTAATCATCTTTCTTTCTTAGGATCTGGACTTTCTCGTAGACTCCAAGGACGAAGGTAATCAAGATGAAAGATTCACAAAAGCACTTGACTTTGTTTCGACGCTCTGTTCTTTTGATGTGCTCTTAGACGCTGCTGCTGGCGACGATGCTGACAATTACGATCCGGATTATCTGCAAGATCAAGCTCAAGATAACAGTGGATGGTCCGTGAGAACAAGGTACGGTATGATCTCTGTGAGCGTGATTTTAACTTGGCGATTTGTGTCCAGGGCTGTTTGCCAGTATTTGCGAGTCACTTTTGAAACCATGGAGAGTGCCAGGAAAGAAAGGCACGTAGTGGCTCCAAAGCTCGGCTTGGAAAGACTTCTCCAAGGAAAAACCAGGCGAGAATCCGCTCGCATGTTCTTTGAGAGCCTGGTAAGCTTTTCTTTCTTACTTTGATGGTTTGATCCTCAAATCGTCAAAGCTTCGGTGATTTCATCCTCAAGCTAAAAATTGGTGTTGTTTCCACCAGGTGCTCAAGACTAAAGATTACATTAACGTGGAACAAATGGCTCCCTTTGACAACATTTACATCTCGGCTCGTCCAAAGCTCATGAAAGCCGAGATGTGATGTGAAGTGGAGATATATTTACTTGACTAGGTACTTACTCTTTCATCTTTTTTATTTATATTTTTTTGGTTGTATCATACTGCAATGCTGCTTGTGCCGATTATTTTTTCTTTCTATCAATCCAAGAATGACCACCTGAAGAATAAAATGTGGTCGCTATATGCAAGCTTGGAGAAGAGGGAAGGGGGATGCTATAAGATGGATGAGGCAAAAGCTCCGGGATGGAGAATGGGCAATCTGGGGAGCACTGGCAAGCGAGCGTCTGGTCGACAAAGGAAAGGTGGAAGTGGAGATTGCGATCGAGGGCGGGCTCGCGGACGCTGTGGATCGGTTGGAAGAGACCGAAAATGCGCGAGTCTCCAGCAGCAGCTACGCGCTCTTGATCCGCCAGTGTGGAGACTCTGGAGATTTGGGCCGAGGCAAGCGCGTCCACGATCACATCTCTCGCAGCGGCCGCGACGGTGAGACGTTCCTGGGCAATCTCGTGGTGGAGATGTATGGAAAGCTGGGATGCGTGAGCGACGCCCGCGCGGCATTCGATCGAATCGCGCAGCCCAATGCATTTTCGGTGAATCTGGTGCTTGCGGCATGCGCGAAGAGGCAGCGGATCGACGAGGCGCAGGGGATCTTTGAGCGTTTCTCGAGCGTGGCCGATGCCGTGGCATGGAATACGATGATTGTAGCATATGCCCATCCTGGGCATCTGTTGAAGGCAATGAGTTTGTTTGATTCTATGCCGGGAAGGAATGTTGTTTCGTGGAATTCTATTGTAAATGGTGTGCTTCAGCATGGATGCGCGGAAGATGCTGTCACGATGATGAACAAGATGCCACAACATAGCTTGGCGTCGTGGAACGCTGCAATAATTGCTTATGCCGAAGCCGGGCACCTGTGTAAAGTTCTTGAGTTCTTTCTTTCACGTCCAGAGCGCGACTTGATTTCGTGGATTGAAACCATCAGGTGTCTCTCAAAGAACGGAAGCGTCGACGATTCGAAGAGGCTGTATGATGCGATGCCGCAATGGAGCGTAGCTGTTTGGATCGCATTGCTGCAAGCATATGCCCAAGGGGGGCATATTGACATCGCCGGGGCTTTGTTCGATGAGATCCCCGAAAAGAGTCTTGTGTCGTGGAACGCGATGATCTGGGCGTATGCAATCAACCAGCTAGCCGCCGACGCCAAGAAACTCTTCGATGCTTTGCCGGAGATGGACGTGATCTCGTGCAACACCATGATTAGCGCCTTTGCGAGCAGCCACTCGGTGCGAGAGGCCAGCCAAGTTTTCGAGAGCATGCCCGCGCGAGACACCGTCTCCTGGAACGCGCTCCTGCAAGGATACGCCGACGAGGAGTCCGCGAGCTTTGAATCGGCGAGAGCTTTGTTCGAGAGAATGTCGCACAGGAGCTTGTTGGGATGGAATCTGATGCTCAAGGCTTCCATGCAGCAGGGAGAGATTTATCACGCCGAAGAGATCTTTCACGAGATGCCTGGACGGAACTTCTCGTCGTGGAACGCGCTGCATGGAGGATACGTCGAGAATGGTGTTCTAAGCCTTGCGGTGGCGGCGATGGATCGAATGCCCGCCATGGATCGAGTGGTGTGGACTGTGATGATCGGTGGCTATGCCCGCGCTGGATTCTTGGCCGAGGGCGAAGAGATGGTGGAAAGGATGCCCGACCGGGATGTTGTGGCTTGGAACTCGCTCTTGCAAGCTCACGTCGAGCATGGAGCACAGATAGAAGACGCAAAGAGGATCTTTGATGGCATGGCCGAGAGAAACATCGTGTCGTGGTCGGCGATGATCGGCGCTTTCGTGCGGCCGATGAAGCAGCAGAAGCTCACAATCAAAACGCGGGTTGAGATGGCCAAGTCCGTTTTTGAGCGAATGCCAAGCCGGGATATGGTGTCGTCCAACGCAATGGTGGTGTTCTTGGCGGACAATGGCTTGATCGAGGAAGCAAGAACAGTGGTGGAATCCATGGACCGAAAAAACTCCACCTCTTGGAGTGCTCTTCTGGAAGGCTACGTGAAGAAGGGCTGTAATCGGGAAGCTCTCGAGCTCTACCGGTCCATGGACTTGGAAGCACAGAGCAATCCACAGTCGACTAACAGCAGGACTTTCGTGTGGATTCTGGAGGCCTGCGCCAGGAGCGTCGCATTGAACGCTGGCCGATCGATCCACTCCGACTTGGATGATCTCCTCGCGAGGAATCATGGCAGCAGTAGTGTTTTGCTAGCTCCTTCTCTGGCCACGGCCCTGATCGACATGTATGGAAAGTGTGGAGAGCTCGACGAGGCCAGGAAGATCTTTGACGCTCTCTCCTGCAAGAGCATCTCGTGCTGGAACTCGATGATCGCGGCTTACACACAGAGTGGTCATGGAAAGCAAGCGCTGGAGCTCTTCCTCTTGATGGGACTCGATGGCTTGAATCCCAATCACATCACTCTGATGATCGTCCTCTCGGCTTGCAGCCACTCGGGGCTCGTCTCCACCGCCCTGGATTTCTTCCTCGCTTCCATCCTCGGCCGCGACTTTGGCAGCGGTCTCATCCGCAAGGAGCACTTCGCGTGCCTGATCGATCTCCTTGGCCGCGCCGGGCAACTCCAGGAAGCGCAGGAACTGATGGCAGCAATGCCGGTGGAGCCGGATCGAGTGGCGTGGAGCGCCATGCTTGGAGCTTGCAAAGCTCACGGCGATGGCGATCGAGGCGCCGCCGCGGCGGAGAGAGTGATCCAGCTCGATCCAAGCTCCTCGTCACCCTACGTTGCCGTGTCGAGCATGCACAAGCAAAGAGTTTGAAAGAGGGGGTCAAGAAAGAGGACACGTCAGCAGGGCCGTTTCCCTCCACTGGCCGATATCCGAATATTACTTGCTTCTTCCTCTGTGACTCAGCCTCTCTTCTAGGGTTTTGGGGAGCGTGTCCATGCGCCAGGGCGAGCGATGGCGCTCCAGTGGCGGCAGCTGCGATCGATGCTGTGGAAGAACTGGCTCCTCAAGCTGCGTCATCCGGTGGCGACGCTGCTGGAGGTGAGTGAGGATTATTTCGATGCATTCGGTCTCGTTTGATTTGTTTCAATCGCAGGTGGTGCTCCCCGCAACGATCATGCTCTTGCTCATGGCGATTCGATCGCGTGTGGATTTTCACACGCATCCTCCTTCGGCGTAAGCAGAAGATTCTCACATTGTTGGATTTTGCGATCGTGTTGAACTTCAGGTATATAAAGGAGGGGATGTTTGTGGGGGTTGGGAGCAGCAAAATCTCTCCTAGTTTTGAGGCTGTCCTGCAATTTTGTGAGGCGAATGGCGAGCACATAGCTTTTGTTCCAGAAAGCGAAGGAACGTCCACCATGGTCGATCTTCTCTCTTTGAAGTTTCCACTTTTACAGGTTTGATTTTCTCGCGGTTTTCGACTCCGTCTTTAAGTTTTTTCTTCGTCGTGCATGGCAGACCGTAGCAAAAATCTACAAAGACGAAGAAACTCTGCATTCATATATCAAGTCGAAAACCTATGGCACAGGGTAACCTTGTCATGCTATGATGTTGTACAGCTCTAAATCTCGTTCTTTCAGGAAGAAACTGTATCCGAAGATCAAGGCTGCAGTAGTGTTTTTCGAGCAGGGCCCGTGTACATACGATTACAGTATTCGTCTCAATCACTCATGGGCGTTTCAAGGTTTTCCCGACGTGAGAACTATCATGGATACTACTGGAGCATATGTGGATGATCTTATCCTGGGAGTGGATTTGGTGTCAACTTATGAATATGGTTACAGTGGCTTTCTGACGGTAAGCTGCGCTTCCTCTCTGTGTTGTAGCTGATTACCGCTTTTTGTCAGAGCAGCTGCAGCAAGTTATCGACTCCTACTTGATCTTATTATCCCAGCAGCAACCAGAACTTTGTCATTATGAAAGTCGGAAACGGGTTTTGAAGAATGAGTCGCATGAAAATGTGAAGCTCGTGACAGAAAATGTGTTTCCAAAGTATATCAGCGTTGCGCCTTTCCCAACAAGGGAGTATACGGACGACGAGTTCCAATCCATCGTAAAGAATTTCCTGGGAATATTGTAAGTAGAACAGCTTCTTATTTTCTTTTCTCTAATGGTCGTTTATGACAGGTATCTTCTTGCGTTTCTTTACCCAGTATCGCGACTGATTAGCTGCTCGGTACTGGAAAAGGTGAATTTCTAATATAGTTATACTACCGACATTAACCTGCTACTTGACGACTTAGGAAAAAGGAATAAAGGAAGGAATGCTTATGATGGGGTTAGAAGGTACAAACTTCTATGTATCGTGGTTCATCATCTACATGCTCCAGGTCGTCCTTCTGGTGGTTTACTATGTATTAACTGGACGAATATTTTTTGCTGCAGTTTGCTGTTTCCTCGTTGATAATTGTTCTTGTTACCATGAACAGCATATTTGCATACAGCAGCATGTCCGTTGTCTTCGTCTATTTCTTTCTCTTTGGGCTCAGTGCAATCGCATTATGTTTTCTTATCTCCGTGTTTTTTACACGAGCTAAGACGGCAACAGCTGTGGGCACACTCTCCTTCCTTGCAGCATTTTTCCCATACTATGTTGTTGTGGACACAGATGTCTCACTGTATGGTTTTTTCTTCTTCTTCTTCTTTTTCTTTTATGCGCTAGTAATCCCTGTTTTTCATATACAGGTCGATTAAACTTATCGCGTCACTTCTTTCACCTACTGCCTTCGCTCTTGGAACTGTAAACTTTGCCGACTATGAACGAGGACATGTTGGGGTTCGTTGGAGCAATATTTGGAAGGTCAGTGCTTTGCACATTTCATTGATGAAAATAAGCTAGCTGCTTGGTATCATTTTTGCAGGAATCATCGGGGGTTAGTTTTCTTCTCTGTATGGTTTTCCTTGCAGTAGATGCTCTCCTTTATTTAGTTTTGGCTTGGTACTTCAATCAGGTAAAGTTTCTTAGTGTTCTCTCTCTTTTTTGTAAATGCTGCTCACAGGTTCTCAAGCATAGTTGCGGATATTTAACGTGTCGCATGCTCTGGAATCTATGTCGTTGTAAGAGAAATAATGAAGAAATGGACGAGGAAAATGAAGACATGATACCTCAATCGGAAATTGAACC